ATACGCCTACAATACCAATATTAAGATCTTATTGACACCCTTCAAGTCAAATCAAAAATACCACAACAACGCAGTGTTGGAGGGTTGGTAACACAAAACTAGTGGTTTAAAAGGAGAGAGTATAAAAAAATCACTTTTTATTACATTTTGGGGCATATACATACATTTGGTGCATTTGGAGCATACACAAAATACTTGACGTGTATACATTCTGGGTTCCATATCAATCTAGGACATTATGCATATACATCATACATGGTATTTTTCAAACACACTTTGTGTAAAACCAATATCTTGGGGCCCTTTGGCAAATTATCAAAGCAAGCAATTACCTTGGTTGAAAATAGACACAATCGGTAAAGCTCTGATCTTATCTTTGGTCTAGTTATCTAAGATTCGATCACCAAAACACTTTTCAATCATCTACCCCCTAGGTTGTGGTAGGTGTGTGAATTATTAGGTTCATGTTATTCATTCCCTAGGTTGTAATGAATGTATGAATCTATCTTTGTGTCGTTTATACCCTAGGTCGTGGTAAACGCACAAATTCTTCAAATATTTATCCCCTAGGTGGCGATAGGTATGCGAATCTTCAGGGTTATACTATTCATCCCCTAGGTTGTGATGAATAACATAAGACCACCCATGTTGTTTTTTGTCCCCTAGGTTGTGATAAATGCGCAGGTTCATCCCCGTACTATTTACTCTCTAGGTTGTAGTAAGCATAACTAAATTAACATAATTCATTGCGTCAGTCTCCATGCATAAATGTGTTACCAAACCTTGTTTTATTCAACCCCTAGGTTGCGATAAATAGAAAAAATTTGTGTTATAAACTTATTATATTAGTCTCAAAGCATTAGTAAGTCATCTTTTCAAACTTGTATTATTTTACCTCCTAGGTTATGGTAAATATGAAAAAAAATCTAAAATCTATTTTAGATATTGACGAGTTATCCGTGTCATCATATCTAAGTCAAAACAAAAACTTTTTGTTCAAACCCTAGTAAGATGATACATCATCATCTATGCCTATTTTTCATACTCTGGGGAACGTTGTACAATGCATCCTTATAAATCGTTCGGATAAATTTTGGGGGTCTTCCATTATTTAATAAACCTCTGATTTGAATGTGCGAGACCTGCGTATTCTCGCACTACTCAATCAAAGGATAATTAAATATGGGCAGTTGCCATACCCCAAATTTGTCCTATTGATTTTTATTAATTTTTTCTTTATATCATTATCAGTTCTCTATAAAGTCTGAATTATTATGGATAAATTCATTGGGGGTTTACAATCTTAAAGAGGTTCATGGGTTTTTTCTAAATAAAAAAATTCCATGTAATTTGTGTTTAGGCCCATTATGGATTATTTTGATTTATGTTAAGAGTTAGGCCCATTAAAGTTTGTAAAAAAGGGGGTGTATTATCTTAAATGGACCATCAAAATCTGATGACCCATTAAGACAATTTTGCTGACCCGGTTCAAAGATAAAAGGGGCGATGTTTTGGGCCATCAAAATCGGATGGCCCATGAAAGAGTTGTTGTATTTTAACAAAGAAAGGGTGGTGCATTTTGAAGGGCCCAATAAACTGGACAATGTTGGCCCAGTTCAGATTTTTTTGATGACCTGCATTATTTTTTTAATTAAATATTATTAAGAAACATTTTTAATAATTTTATTTATCTATTTATATTATTAATACTTATTTTTACTATTACTGTTGTTTATTTTTAATAAAATTATTTTATTTTTAGTTGACCCAAGTCAATCCAAGGGATTAAGAAACTCTAATTGCCCCAACAGCAGCCCTGTTCTTCAATTACCCAGGCCCAAACATGTATTGTTCAGATCTGGGAAGAGAAACACTTTTTGAAACTAAAACAAAACAAAATCTTCATTGGATCAAATCAAATATGGAAAATTAATATCCATGTTTATTCATTAACACGAACCTATACAATAACAAGTCCAAATACAGATTACAAAGAAATAATCTCAAACAAAATCTTTGTAAATCAATCACTAAATCAAATTAAATCCCTAAAATAGAATATAATCTTCCTAATCCCTAATACAATTACAAATGTAACGATAAATCATAAGAATTTCCTAATTTGTCTAAAATCTAAACCTATAAATTAACCTATAAAATTTCTAAGAAGGGAGGAGAAGAAATTGAGAACACAAGTTGACATAAATAAAAAAGGAGAAAGACTTAGGGTTTCAATATCTGAAACCCTAAGAACTTCAAACCACACAACTCTCATCTTCAAGCCACCGTTGCTATGCCACCACCACTCTAATACATGAAAGAAAAAGAAGAAGAAGTAAAGATCGGAAGGAGATTCAAGAAATCAAACATACGACCAATATCACGGCAAAAGAGGTAAACACAAAACACTTAACTTTAGGGCTCTCAGATGTTTATTCTGATTTTCACATGAGTGATGTTTGAATGTTCTAGAAGTTTGGGGTTTTTTAGGGTTAGGGTTCTAACCTATGGTTAGGGTTCTTAGATCCTAGAGTTAGGGTTCTTAGGTTTCTTTGAATATTAGGGTTAGGGTTCTTCATTTTTTGGTATTCTGGGTTTTGGACATTTATGGTTCATCACGAACCCTTAGGGATCTATGAACCCAGATGAAGATTCACGACGGAGGATTTGAATGTTTGAAGTTTTCGGTTGAATATCAATCAGAAAATTGGAGAAAATGGGTGGTTGGGGTGGTTAAAGGAGGACAACGCGGCCAGGGCGATTTCTAGCCGCCTGAGTTTTAGAGAGAGGTTAGAGCCTTTCTCTCTAGGTTTTGCAAAAGGGTTTCTTTGTTTCATTGAAGAGAGAGATAGAAAAGGAAAAAATAGGCTCTCAACCAAGTGATTCATTTTTATAAACATCCCCTGATTCTGTGTTCGCATGCCCATAATCCTCTTCATGCACTTCCCACCAAAACCTTCATATCATCATCAAACGCTCCTGATTTGCATGCCTATTGTAATACCATGATCCCTCTCGCACGTTACCTAAACAAACCTCATTTTGTTTTGGGCCTAAGCCCATGATAATCACACCCCCAATTTGTTTTTTTGCTAAGCCAACTCAATTTTCACCCCCTAACGCTCCCGGGTCAAGTCCAACATCTAGACTTGGGTTGCTGCTGACTAAACGCCCTATTTTTACTAACCTGTTCAACGATTCACCCCTCTACGTTTGGGCCTGAATTCAACATCTGAATTTAGAGCCCTATCTCCCATATCTCCCTTTTTGCTAGCCCAACACAAAATGCACCTCCTGCGTTTTTTAATTTCTTTTATTATTTATAATTATTATTTTTATAATTTAATATATTTATAAATTTTAATATTAATTTACTATTATTATAAAATCAAATATTTATTTTCTAACTCATCCAAATATTTATTTATTGCATTAAAATTATTTTTAACCATGCATTAATAATATTTTTTTATATATTAATACATTTAAAAAATACTTAACCAACACCAAATCATTTTCTTAATAACTTAATTAACTCTAAAACAACTTTTAAAAAGAATTGCGAAAATATTTTAATCGACTGCGAACTTCGTCTAACAACTCCGTTATTCCCACATCTAGACTAGGTACAAGGAAAATTCAAAATATCTTCGTAATCCATAAAAACACCAACCAACTGCGAACTACGAATTGAGACTCTAATTTCTCATAAGAGGATACATATGCATACGACTAAAATCGTGGTGAGTTCCCCTAATAAAAATTAAAACTCTATTTCCTAAACCGTTATTCTAAACCCTAGTATCCTTGTGAACAAGATATATGAGGGGTGTCGAACACCTTCCCGTCGTCTAAGAACGAGTCCAACAACTTATAATCTCTTATCAAATTAGGATCATCCTTTATATTCTATTCTTAAAGATAAAAATTAAGGGTGACGACTCTCAATTTAAAACTGGTTACAACATCCGACTGCAGCAGACCAGCCTCATGTGCATCTACCACCTATCGAGGTTGTCGTGCATGACCTCTTTGTCGCATAATGTCGTCGCTTCGACTTCCTCTTCTGTGCACCACTAAAAATATAAATAAAATAATGAATAACAAAACATGAACCAGATAACATATGATCAAGTTATCCGAAAAATAACACAACAAAACCAGAGAACCTTGGCAACAATTATTCGATTTGAGGTCATGCAAATCGGAGAACAATATGTTGAGTTATCCGCTTGCTAAATTTTTTCAAATGTAAATCAGATAACTTACTTGTAAGTTATTCGGTGTGTTGTACTGATGAATCGAAAGTCTTCTCTCTGTGTTCTCCGGTTTGAGCTCTCTTGATTTGGAAAGTGCTGGTTGTGTTCTCGCGGGTTGCATGAAAATGAAATGAGAACAAAGTGAAATTTTTTTATGGTCTAAATATATTCACAAAGATATTTTATTCCAAACTCATAATTTATAAGGGTAAGAGAATAAATGATGGAGTATGGAGTAAAATTTTCCTACTTATATGGATTATGATCCACTTTGTTATTCCAGCTCGGATTTCTTTAGTGTTAGTGATAATTAATTATCTAAAACAAATTTAAACCTAAATTTGGATATTTTAAAAATAATTAAATATTAAAATGTTAAATTCAAATTAGAAAAAAAATCATTATGACAATTTACTTCCTTTATATTCCATCTAATTCTAATTATAAAAAAAAGTTGGGTCTGTAAAAACTAATGTATCTAAACATAAATTTGGATCAAATACATCAAAAAATAATTTTAGACGGAAATACTATTTTTTTTGTTAGACATATTTTTAAAGAGGAAATATATCTCAACATAAAAGGATAATTATAATATATTACCGTTCCAAAATAAATAATTAATGAAACTTGAATAATAAATAAACTTCAATTTTTCTTTTATCTCTCTACCACCATTGTTTATTTTTCTCTATAATTGTCACATTTTTTCTGAAGAAAGAAACAACAACTTCTGAAATAATGGTGAACTATTCATTGATTCGAATAATCGTTGGAATTATAGGTTCGAGTTTCATTTTATCCACAATGTTTTAACTTTGTTATATAAACTTTTGCATGGAAAACTATACATTCAATTAAAATAATTTATAGTATATATAGTTTATTCATTTTTCTTATCGAATATTTATTATGTTCTTAACAGATTATTTTCTCTTTTCTGTGTATGCAGGCAATATCATCTCTTTAGGCTTGATAATCTCACCAGCGTAATTCCTTTCTCTCTTTAAGCAGTTTTTGTGTATCATTTAATAATTAATCTACTTTAATATTTAAAATTTATTATCTAAAATCATTTAATTTCATAATAATTAGAGAAAAATATTGTTAAACATAATAAGAATAATATGAAATTAATGGATTTATAATTAAATTGAGACCACTTACTCCACATGGAAAATTTCATTTCATTTTTCTTTTCACGGTGAACCATATTTTCACTGATATGTGATTTTATTATAGGGATTAATGAACTTAATTTAATATTGAACCAATTAGAATTATTCGGTTCTTAATATTTTATTATATTCTTTGTTTTTTATTTTTTTTAAATCATATCCGATTTTATTTTTTGCAGACCAACTTTCTATAAAATTATAAAGATGAAAGCCGTAGAAGAGTTCAAGCCAGATCCATATTTAGCAACATTATTGAACTGTGCTGTTTGGGTGTTTTATGGAATGCCTTTTGTGCATCCAAATAGCACTTTGGTTGTTACCATCAATAGTGTTGGGTTTGTTTTCGAATTGGTTTATATTATCATATTTTATATCTATGCCACCACCAAAGGAAGGGTAAATATTTTTTTTATCATGTTTTCTTTGATAAATTGATTCAATAATTTTTTTCTACTATATAACTCATCATATCTTGTTCCTAAAATTTTCAGAAAAATATATTGATTGTTGTTCTCATTGAGACTATTTTCTTTGTGGGTGTTGTTCTTATAACAATGTTTGCACTTCATGGCACTACCAAAAGATCTTTGGTGGTTGGTATTATTGCTGATATCTTCAATATTATGATGTATGCCTCTCCTCTTACAATTGTGGTAAGTCTTTTTTTAAAATGCAAAATTTAATTTATACTCATTTATATTTTTAATAATTATATTTATTATTTCTTGATATTGTGATGAACAGACAAAAGTTATAAAAACTAGGAGTGTGAAGTATATGCCATTTTGGCTCTCTGTAGCTAACTTCCTCAATGGCTTGTGTTGGACAGCATATGCTATTCTTCCCCCCTTTGATATTTATGTATTGGTAATTAATCTATTCATTTTTTGTTTATCTTTTTTTTTTGAAATATATTGAAGAAAATGTTTTGATTTTTTTTTTTTTTGCATTATTCTTGTAGATAAGCAATGGTATTGGAGCAGTTCTTGGACTTGTTCAACTTATTATATATGCTTGCTATTATTCTTGCAAAGGTGAAAACAATGAAGATGATACCAAAAATGATGATCTTGAGATGAAATCAACAACTGTTGGTGAAATCTCAGTTAGCAATGAATGATGAGTTCTAATTAACATCATAGCTTTGTTAAATTCTTGTGTTACACAATGTTTCTTAATTTTCTTTCACTAGAGATCATGGATTGAGAATATGTGTTTCATTTTCCTTATGGGTCACAACGTTACTTTCATTGTTCTAAGTGAATTTTTTTTACACATGTAACAAATATTATAATATAAAAGTATTCTCTTACAACTTATTATCGTCAAAACTAAAATAAGAGTGTATTGTTCTTTAAATCATTTTGAGATAAGCAATTTTCTTTTAAAAAAAAAAAAGATAATATTTTGAACATCTCTAATAAAAAAAGATAATATAAGAGGTTATTGTTCTTTAAATCATTTTGACTCTAACAATCTAACAATGGAATATCGTCTTGAACTTATAATTCACAATTATCTAGTGATGAATAACCATTGAAACTTAGATGAAAGAAGGAAATACCTCAAATTCCATAGGAATAACTTGTTGGAGTAAAAATTAATTGTAATAGTTATGTCAACAAAAATTCAAAAAATGAGTACATTTTAATAGCATTCAGAAAGATTGTCGTTAATTTGATAAGATAAATGAAATTGTACTTGTTATTATGAGTTTGATTTAACAAAAAATTAATAAGGGGTGCTCAGAGCACGATTGATTCAGTTTTGCTATAACTATCCAATTATTTGAACTAAACTAACAAATTAAATGATTCTACGAGAGAATCGATTAAGTCCCCCCCTTCAAATCACTTTCTCCTTTAATGTGGTGCATTCCTCCTTATCCTATAATGATCCCCTATAAACAAGATTATTTTAAAATAGTTACAAACATCTTAATTATCAAGTAACTCTCTTTATTATTGTGTTAATCCTAATGATCATGACGTAACTGCAAGAAGATTTATTGTAACACCCTCTAATCTCACATAGACATAAATAGCATAATCAGAGTAAATTAACATACATTTCAAAACGGGCGACACAATTGACATCACAAAACGATAAAGAAAATTCAAACATGCATATTGGTCATGATCATAACACGTATTCAAATTCACGTTTCATACACCAATATAAAATATACATCTCGCAGCGGAATAATTATCTCAACATAAAGATATAAATGATTAAAACCTCATACTGACAATCATATCATAAGTACTAGGCATTCTAGCCAAATATCACACAATCTCATACATATCCAGATAAAAGAGAGTAATAACAAATATCTCTCAAAACAAATCAAACATGAGTTCCAATATCCTCTGTGTTACATAGACTAGAGCAATGACTCACTGTTTAGAAATAAGCAGATAAATAAGGATCTAGCTCCTCCTCCAATCCTGGCAAGAAGTACCGCTATCTCTGAAACTTGAGCGATGTCGTATAAAGTATCATTCCAACAGAAGAGTGAGAATTTATATCATTATGAAAATATATAATGATAAGTAATGTAAAACATACACACACCAATATGTATTCACCATTCTTCACAAAACCACATTTTAGGCATAACATAATCCAATATACCAATCCACATATACAACATAGCTCATTAATTCATATTTCAAATGAAATTCAATTCCAATTACCACAATTGTACAATTAAATCAGTTATCACATGTTGCACATCAAAACACCACATTCACTCTAGTATTACATAATGAGTGATAATGCAACAATTCACATCGACATATATGACTCTAATGCAACTCAAATGTATTATGCATGTGGTATCAATATTATCCTTATCGGTCCTGTCGGGTCCACATCTCCAAGACACATAACCAACAATAAAAGTATGATTCAGCCTTAAGCTTTCAAATCCCATTTAGCGTTAGGTTTGGGGCAAGTAAATAGTTCCCACTGAATTACCAAACCTTGCCTCTTGACACAAATGATGCATGTACATGTGCAATCTCAACAACTCATCACAATAATTCATCACATAATTAAACACATTTTGAATTATCTTCACAACATTGCATAACATACATATTTCATGCCAATCAATCACATAGACACAATCTCATAGTATAAATCATCTTAACACATCATTATAACATGTAGCAATTAGATACAATCATGCTATATTCAAACATTATCAAATTCCAACACTTACATACACAATTTAAGTGTTAAGTTTCTGATCAAAACATTTCAAAAACCAATCTAAAACACATCGAATAAATTATTAAAATTCATGTAAATCCATGATAAATCATAACATACAAGATCCCAATTTCATTCATGCATAAAATAATTTTTGTGTCCAGTCACATGTACTAAGCGGCCTTACCTGTGCTAAGCGCCCCTTACAAAAACCAGAAAAATCTGTTGCAAACAGCTACTGACTTGTGCACAAAAATCACCATATAGACATATTCTAGTATCCATTTTCATCAAATAAACATATTCTTACACGTATACATCATATGGAACATATTTATATCATAAATACTAGATTTCAAAAACCTAATTTCCAAATCCCTAAATCAATTTGGGTGATTCAAAACCTAGAAATTCATATACTCAATCCTATTACATGTTACTATCCATCATATACTCCCATAATAACATAGATTCTCACTCTTACCTTAAGTGTAGAGTCTTTAGGATTGCCTCTTCATTTTTCCTCATTTCTCCTCTTTCTCCCCTTCTCTTCTCTTCTTTGTTTTTATTTTATGACAACACTAATTCTAATCTCTCTTCTTACTACTCTATTTCATTAATGGACCTAATTCCATTTACCCATCATATTATGACATAGAGTCCAATTCTAATTATTTTCTATTCTTACTGATAAATCCAATTATTCAAATAACACATATATTCAAATAATTCAAATATTCACCAAATCGCACAATTAAATCAATTACTATATAATATAATAATTAACAAAATAAGTAAATAATACTAAATAAAAATCGGGATGTTACAACTCTCCCCCACTTAAAATATTTTCATCCTCGAAAATTACCTCAAACGAACAACTCAGGATACAAATCCTTCATCTGACTCTCCAGCTCCCAAGTCACATTACCATCTGCCGGTCCTCCCCAAACCACTTTCACCAAAGCGATCTCTTTACCTCAGAGTTTCTTCATTTCTCTATCCTCTATCCACATAGGTGATGTCTCAACAGCCAAATCATCTCTTACTTACACATCATCTAATTGGACAACATGAGACAAATCCGTAATGTATTTCCTCAACTGAGACACATGGAACACGTCATGGAGATTATCAAGTAATGATTGCAAAGCAATCGGATATGTCACTCCACCTACCTTCTCGGAAATATAATAAGGACCAATAAAACACGACGTCAACTTATGCAACTTCAAAGCTCTACCAACACCGGTTACTGGAGTAACCTTTAGAAATACATGATCATCTTTCTCAAACTCAAACGCCTTCCTCCTCTTATCTTGATAACTCTTCTGACAACTCTGAGAAATCTTCATCTTTTCTCTAATCATCTTAATCTTATTTGTAGTCTGTTGAACTATTTAAGGTCTAACTACATCAGTCTCACCAGATTCATACCCACACAAAGGCGTCTTACACCTTCGTCCATACAAAGCCTCAAACAGTGTCATTCTAATACTTGAATGGAAACTGTTTTTATAAGTAAACTCAATCAAAGGCAAATAACTATCTCAAGCACTTCCTTTCTCCAAAACACAAGCTCTCAAAAGATCCTCAAGTGAATGAATTGTCCTCTCAGTCTGATAATCCGTTTGCAGATGATACGCCAAATTCAAACGCAACTTTGTACCCAAATCATCTTACATACCTTCATAAAAATATGAAGTAAACCTCATATCTCTATTGGAAACAATACTCGATGGAACACCATGCAAACTTACAACCTTCTCAATATACAATTTAGCAAACTTCTCCATCGGATAATTCATCCTAATCAGAACAAAGTGAGCAGATTTCGTCAATCTATCCATAATAACCCAAACAACATCACAATTACTCAAAGTCCTCGGAAAACCCGGAAAAAAATCCATAAAAATGTTATCCCATTTCAACTCAGGCATGGATAACAATTACAACAACTCAGACGGCTGCTGATGTTCAATCTTAGACTTCTGACAAATCAAAAAAGAATACACAAACTCTACAATATCTTTCTTCATACCTAACCACCAAAATAATTTCCTCAAATTTTGATACATCTTAGTAGCTCCAGGATGAATACTCAAACCACTATGATATCCTTCATCAAGAATCCTCTTATTCAAATCTCCCACATTTGGAACACAAAATCTATTATGACACCTCACAATACCATTCTCATCAATCCAAAAATCACCACCTCGACCTTGATTGATCAACGTCAATTGATTAACTAATCTCAAATCATATTTCTGACCTTCTCGAATCTCCTCAAGAATACCATTAATAAGCTTCAACAAACCAAGCTTAACACCAAAAGAAGTCTCTTCAACAAATTAAACTCATATCTCGAAATTTCTCAAGCAAATCCAATTCTCGAACCATCAATATCGACATATGCAAAGACTTCCTACTCAAAGCATCAATTACAACATTCGCTTTACCTGGATGGTACTTCAAACCAAAATCATAGTCTTTCAAGAATTCTAACCATCTTCTTTGCCTTATATTCAACTCTTTCTGATTAAATAGATATTTCAAACTCTTGTGATCACTAAACACATCAAACATCGATCCAAACAAATAATTCCTCCAAATTTTCAAGACAAACACAAATGCGGCCAACTCTAATTCATGCGTCAGGTAATTCCTCTCGTGAACTTTAAGTTTCCTTCAAGCATAAGCCACGACCTTTTGGTTTTGCATTAACACACATTCTAAACCCATCAAAGAAGCATCACAATAAACAATAAAAGGTTTTGCCGGATTCAGAAAAATCAAAATATGAGTGGTTGTCAACCTTCTCTTAAGCTCTTGAAAACCAACATCACACTGTGCAATCCAAATAAAGGCTTGACCCTTTCTAGTCAATTGCGTCAATGGTAC